GCCGTTTTGAATGGGCCGACCGACCCCACTCAATGAAGGTGGCCGCAGCATTGGAATCATCCGTCACCAGCAGTACGTGCATGTTAAACCGGCTTACATGGCCTAGTCCCCGTCATTGACTTGTGCAAGGAAATAAGTCAGCACTTGTTGTGTACTGGAATTGCTGTGTTCGTGTGTAAGCACACGTCGGGTGGGCGTGCGTGCGAGAGCACGAGGATGCCTCAGGGAGGGTGTGGAAGACGGAGTGCGACTCGCTCAGTCGTGACTAGACGCACGCGTCCTGGTCGCGTGTACTTACGGTGACAGACTTCGCACTTTGAGCAGCTGCTAATGAGCCCCAAGTGCAGCTGTCGTGATAACTACACCACCGTGAAGGTGTGACCGGGAGCGCGAGTTCTAGAATTAGGCACAACAATGGCAATTTCATGATCAACTCGGAAGTTCTGCCAAGGCTGCCCACATCCACGGCAATTGGAATAGATGGAGTCAAGCCCTATTTCTAAAAACAGCAAGACAATACCGATTGCTATGTCGAGGTGGAGTAGTAAGACAACTGGACGGGTGGTAGTGAGCGTCGTGGCGAAAATGTCGCACCACGACCAAATAAGTAAAACTCGCAAAGGGCATTACAATCACAAACTAACCTCCCAATTATTGACATTTGTAGTGCGGTTCATATTTCCAAATTGAGTGACTTGCAGAGCGCTTTGAATGTCCAGTCGTCTTTAGGCAATGCTAAGAGTGATATGAAATAAGCCTCCAACTGCAGAGAATGACTTAATTTACAAACAATGCCGCTTAGGGCACTCGGCCATCCAATGGGAGAACGATCACGGTCCTAGTTTGAGTCTGACATTGATGTAAAAGGGGTGAAGTCCAGCCGGCATTTACGCAGCCAATCTGTTAACATGACCAGTAGTTCGACTGGAAGGTGATGCTTACAAGCAGGTGAAGTGTTACTGCCCCTCGAGTTTTATCAAAATTAAGTACGAGTTCTCAAGATTTCCTTCTTTTGTGATTGCGATCTCGATGTCATTACAGTCCGACTATGACCATAGTCTGCACCACTTCTGCAAGTAACTCATCAATCTGCTGAATACGAACGAGTTACCACGAGTCAGAGCAAGAATAAAGCGGTCAAACGGTTGCAACCTTGATCCTAACTAACAGAATTGCCGCCTTTGTATACTGGATACTAGACTAGACGTGAAAGTGGCAGAAGGAAGGCGCCTCCTACGAAATGCTAAATCATTGACTACTAACAGTGGAACTGCTGGAGCTGTGCTGATTCTTGCAGACCACCCCGAACTTCACATCGACATGGTGGCAAATGAGATCTTTGACAGACTGAAGTCGCTTTTGCGAACCTTTGCTGCTGATAGCATAGGGATTTACGCGAACGTGATTAACAAAACAGCTACAGTGGATGTCGTAGCAATAATCTTGCATTTGGCAATCTTCCCCCAGCCACGCGAAACGTTGACAGCAAGACAAGAGTGGGGCAGTGGGTTGAAGCAGGCGAGTAAGCGCGCGTTTTCAAAACTGCCTCTGATCACAGGAAAAATCAGCCAATGTTTAGGTGAACACAGACTAAGCCATAAAAATGACCTTTGCCCTGCACAAATCCAAAGTGGGACTATTTATATGATGAGGCGATGCAGCGCAAACCTTGCGATATTTTGAAAATTGCGAAGCGAGGCAAAGTAAGCGAGGAGAGCACATGCATGTGCGCACAAACACACGCTCATTTATCGGCTGGTCGCAATTGACTGACGAGAATATATTAAAGGGCTCGAGATTGCCAAGCAAATGAGATGGGAAAGAGTGAAATATGGTCCGAGACACTTCCACAAGGTGGAAATTAATGAGAGATGAATGTAGTTTATCTGCTGTCAAAGGAACAAGTAGGAATTTATATAATAGCAAAAATTAGCTGTTGAACAAAGCCGAACTTTCAAGACGCATAGCCAGCTTGGGATAAAACCTCCGAGCCAAAAGAAGTAAGAAGATTATAAGGTATTTGCGCTGACAAGCGATGGAATTCGTGGGAGACTCGTTTATTGCCCTGCAACTTCCAGTCATTTCAAGCGAATTCTCGCATGGGCTAATCGACTCCGCAACCTCCGAATGGTTGGAGAGGTCAGCCACATATTTCCCCAAACATTCGTCCGAATCTGGGCAGAACTTTTGAGCAAAGTGGAACAAACAATGCTTCAAATTTTGTGCCTCGCACCCTTCCTCTTCCTCCTCGGCATTTCTAATTAATCCTTCCAATTTCTCCTCCTCCCGCCCACACCGGCTCCCAACCACGCACGACTTCAAACAGCTACTTAATTCTGGGTGTAGCATCTCGGCGAAGAGGAGTAGAAGCTGCCTCATCTTTCGTATTTCGCACTCCTTCACCTTGACTCCATTAAATGCACTTCTTTCTCTGACTCCTCCTTTGATGTTTGAAATCCTATTTCCAAAGTCAAATTTTCCTTGCCTGCGCATCCATTTGAACCAATGCACAAGCAATCTTTTCATAATTGCTTCACAGTTCACTTGAGTTGCATTGACCACTTTACTGCAACAGTGGCCATAACTACTTCCTTTCATTTCTCTTGATTTATGCAGCTTAGATTGTTTGTTGCTCTCCCATGATTTGCACAATCCTTTTATACTACTCCGACTTCACCTGGTTCTTGTTCATGATGACATTATCTTCGTACTTTAGTCCTTCATGTGACCGCATTTCTCATAACTTCTAGGTGTCTACACACCGCTCCCCTTTGCACTCTCTTTTACACACTGCACTGCATTCTAGCCTTACGAAAGTCTTTCGCACAAATCAACTTTGTGCCTGGCAATCTTCAAATCAGTAACCACTTTGATGAAGTTGTACAAGACATGAGTACCGAGCTCATGCTACTTAAATGCTGATACCTTGAGCATTAGCGAGGTTGGGTTGTGTGATCTGCCGGGGTTCGGGAAGTGTCGCATGTGTAGGGTACGAATCACGGAGCATGCTAATGATTGCACAGTTCTAGAATCAAGCCTCTTCATCTGACCCAAACTCTGCTCCCAAGGCGCTTGACTTCCATTTGAAGGCTTGCTGACTGCATTACGGTGCGTAACATAAAAAAGACGTTGTCGCGAAAAGCAAAAGCTCTCACGTAATTGCATTTTCTAACTTCCTGCTCGATTGTATGCTTCAAATAGGCTCCAAGCAATTTTAACACTTCAGACGCAAAAAGTTTAGGCAAACTAATAGGCACGAACAAACATTTCTGAGGGATCTTTTGAAGAGTTTGCCTATTCCGCAGGTCTGGGGAGCGTCGCGACTACACATTAGTTAAGTTGCAGTGCAAATTTCGCAAATCTACGAATTTGCGATCCGTGAAAAGCGATTGCACGGAGCATCACTGTAACCCGAATGTACTAATCACCCGATAGGGGAGCAAAGTGGTTTTTTGGTGTAATTTGTATGCATGAGCTCTGAAGCATCACTTGCACAAAATACTGCATGCAAACAGTCGCTTTATCTTTCCGTAAGGCGCCTATAACGCCAATGCTAGTCTGGTTTGCCTCATGTCGTCTGCAAAATCAACCGAGGTGTCCAAATGGTAACTTGGAAGTGTTGCATACGTGATTTTTAAAGCCTCGTCGAGTGTACCCATTTCCTCATTTTCCTGAACCTGCTGAACGCCCTCAACTTACAGTCTTGCCACAGTTTATGCATCAATGCGGCCAACACAATACAGGGCAGAACCGCTTAATGCCTCTCGGCTTAAGGTGTGCAGTCAAAACTACCGTTCGCTGAGTTCTTCGACGAGATACGACAAATCGCCAAATCTCTAGATGCCCCAAGCCATTACTTGTCTCCGGTGCCTTTATATAGAACTATCTTGTGGAAGTGTATAAAGATTGCCCACTACCACCCCGCTTGGATCTTTACAACAGCATTTCGTGGTGATTTGTCCAAGTCTGAAATAGAAGGAGGCAAAGCACATTGTGGTAGTAATGCAGTACGGAGAACCCCAAATAATGAAATGCTTTGTGAATGTGTATGTGTTTATTTTGCACTACGTTGGTAACTCAACCCTTTGTCGGGACACACTAACCATCTTGATTTGAGGACCGCTTTATCGGGCGCATTCATCCATAACCTAACTGGTGTCAGTTTCTCACTGCTCACTGTGCTTT